CTTGTTTTCTACCACAGTTCACAGACCTATAACTGATTCTAAATTACCAATATGTCTCACTCCATTCGAAATTCACTTCATAACATATTATTAGGCTATAATAATAAAATAAATCTTAATGGAGTTAGGTAAATTTGTGCGTGCGCATGTGTACACAATTATAAATACAATCAGGCACTAGAAACAGTTAAAGCCTAACAGAAGGCAAGACACAATTAAGCTTTCAATTACACAGTACTGCTAGGAATAATGGCATCTCAAACTTATTTTCAAAGATTTTTTTTTCATTAATCACCATTACAGTAATTACAATAAGCATCCAGGTATGATCAGTGAAATAAGGAACAGAAGGCAATGTTAGGCTTGATGTGGGCCATAACTTACTTGAAGGGAGAATGCAAATGAGATCAAAAGTAAAACAAGCAAATAATCCCTAAAAACCTCTAAACGCTCTATTTTAAATATATTCATCATGACATTCATTTCAAACTTATCAAGCAAAAATGTTTTATAAAAATAGATTATATCATATGCAACAAATGAAAATATCTAGAGAATTAAATTGTCAGCTTTGATCTCTTCACTAGCTCCCCAGTACCTACAAGCTAAATCTTACCGCATCACACACGAAAGCCCTTGAGGCCAGAAGCACACCAGCTTCATTTCCTGCCACACTCATACCTCATATTTTGCCTCGACATCTCTGTTATATTTTTCTGCCTGAAACATCCTTTCTACCTTTCCTTAAATGGCTAAATTTTCTTACGCATCCTTCATATCTCAACACAGAATGTCATCTCCCCCCTGAAGCTTTGCCTAAAATCCACAGGTTGGGCTAGGAGTCTTTTGTTTATGCTTTCAATAGGAGGACTCTTGACATACCTTTTTACCTCAACATCTAACATGTTAGACTGCAATTATGTTAGTGTATAAAGGGCAGTAACTATTTATTTTTGTGTCTAAACTCCTAGCACGGTGTCTGGAACCTCGTGTGAATTTTTAAAATGTTCGATGAGTTGAATGAAGAATTATGAAATACAGAATCATTTATAGGTATATCTTATCTCATCAAGGATTTCTGCAAAACTTGAGATCCATCTTGAATTATAGCATTGGAAGCTCAAATGCAGCTAGTCTCTGCTTAATTCAGTATTTGGCTAAATAAAATAAGGTATATTTTAAATTATTATTAGAGAATTTCAATTCTAAACAGGATAGCCAAAGTCTGGAAATAAGGGTAAACCTTGTTTTATCATATATTGTAACGTAATACCAACAGACCATTTGTTGTTTTGTATTTACCTGTTTTTCTAGACTATGGCCACCTGTTTATATGTAAATACCTACTTCAGCTAAGAACAATATTTTAAGAACTACCTCAGTTAGGGAACTCAGGTACAGTCCTGTCAAGGACTGATCAATCTAGATCTTCATGAAGTAAATTCGAAAGGCAATGGGAAGCATCTGAGGTCTTACAATGGAACCTAGGAACCACGGTTTTGAAGGAACTCTCGCTATTATATCTGTTTGGTCCTTAGTACAATTAAAATTTGGACAAGTTTAATCTCTTTAAGCCATAAGTGTCAACACGTAAACTTATTTTGAGTCAAGAATTTTCCTATCAAAAAGGGAAAAAAAGGCAATAAAAAGCAAAGTGAGGTACAAGATTACAGAAAAACAGCTCCTTTCTACTTTGGCATTTATAGCTACCAAGTTTTCCCTAGGAAACCTATGAACTGAAGATGTATTTATCTAGCATCCATCAAAATAAAGGGAGAACTTGCTGCTAGTGTGGCAGAAGGATCACTTTTAATTAGTCATCAATTAGAAGTAAAGGTATTGGTATAGGCATAGGGATGACAATGATTTCCAATTTTAAGAAAGAGTTTTTTAAGATTGAATAGAAAGCGTAATTCAAGAATTTAATCCTTTGAAAGTCACACTAGGAAGCCAGGTAACTGACTCTCTAGTCCAACTAGTCTAATGTATAGTAAGTACCCAAGAGTTGAAGTCCCAGGTAACACCACTAGGCCTGATTCTGTGCCAGGACAATAAGGCCTAGTGTCCTCTCTTCTGCCTTCAGAAGAAGAATCAAACTTTGTAATTGTGAAAGAGTATAGGAAGATGTTGCAAAAATGGAAATATAGTGGGCCAACAAACACACAGTGCTCATCATTAATCAGATGAAAATTTAAGTTTCTGTTGTAAAATAAAGTACTGTTTACTTATAGCTGAAGTACTGTTTATCCAGCAACTATTCCAATGCAAAATGGAATATGATCCTTTATGGATTAAAGATGAAATTACCATCTAACTGTTAATATTAAAATTTTTAAATGCTTAAAGTATAACTATGCCCTCTTTAGGGGAAGAAGTTTCAAAGGGTCAGGGTGCACCAAAATATGTTGCATATAAATATTAAAAGAAACTGACCTGATTAGATTATTGGCATTGAAGTTCAAGATTAAATGTATTTGGGGGAAACAGGATATATAAATCAAAGACATTTTTAAAAATTTTAACCAAATGTGTCTTGACAAATTTTAACATTTATCATAACATATTTAGATAAATGTTTGTAAGTTAATTTATAAGTACATTTGTTAACTGAAATATGCAAAGAAATATCCTTTGATTATAGTCTACCGCAGAATATAAGCTACTTAAAAATGAAATTATTGTATTTTGTCATCAGTTTTGTGGCAAACTAAAGCACCTAACACATTTAAAGTTTTCCCAAGTGGAAAAGGAAGCACATAAATGACTGTTAATGTTTCTGACACAATCAATACCTGCGAAAATGCAACGGAATTCTTAAAACAAAAACAAAAACAAGAATCCATCAAAATCCTTTAAAAGTAGCAAATCTAAAAGCACTGTTCTTTACTGCCAATTTTATATACAGGAAATATGCTCTACAATATAATCATATGTGCAATTTTAAGACAATTTTAGGATTAAGTGAAAGTGTTAGCAATGGATTTCCTTGATTTCTGGGTTTTAAATTGGGGCTCTAAGGTTAACACAGGAAAATTTTGATAAGGAAATTCTCTTATAATTATCAAACAGCTTCAAAACAAATCTTTTAAAATATGTTTAAATGTTTACTTAACAACAGTAAAACATTGTTAGTGCAAGCTTAAAAATAAAATTTTTTGATTAGAAACAGTCCATAAAACGCCTGTATCTTCTTCAGACTTGTCATTATGTGCTGACACAGTGATCAGTCAAGTCTCAGCTTTCCATAAAAACTGATTCTATCTTAACCAAATTGTAATTCACTATTCAATGAGTCCAACAGAAACAGCAACCATTCTGTTTGTACAAAAAAGGCCTTCAAATTATTACACAAATTTTACTTTTAAAACTCAAATATATTGCCATTGCAAGTATATTTCACTTCAATTTTGGATCCATAATTTAGAAAGATGCTCTAAAATGTATATGTATCTAAAAAATAAAGCAACTATTTAATAACAACTCCAATTATAATAATATGAGAAACATTTTAAAATACTGAACATCTGTTGAGGAGGAGGAGGAGGTAGGGAAGAAGAGAGGTCTTAAACTAGGGCAGTTTCTACGGACCTGCTTTTTCAAAAATATATAATTCTGTGGGTATGTGGTTTAATATTTATAACACAAACATTGTAGAAGTTGAAAACTACTTCTGGACAGTTCACTATAAAACTATAAAATGGTGTATCAATGAGAAAGTAAATTTATCATCATTCCCTTTAATAAAATTGTGCTTCTGGGCTCGAAATGCCAGGTTACATATGCTGTCACTTGTCCAGTCATCTCTGTTCACCAGGCTGTCTCAGCGCACGTATTCTCAAAGTCCTGAGAACTTCCAGGGGCCGTATCATTACCAAACATCACTGCAGGTTCAGGGGATCATTGGTACCACAGATAAAAACATTTACATTGGCAATCAGTGAATGAGATACACAGACCTCATACTGAAATTTGATCCGTAAATGGTGGATTTAAAAAAAAAAGTTTCCTCTTAATTTCAATTTGCAAATTGATGTCGGCGTGCCTCTAGTCTCATCACAAAAAAACCAACCAACCAACCAAAAAAAACACCAAAAAACCAAAAAACCACACAGAAAGAATATCAGCTACTGGTTGCCAAAAAGTCTGTTTCAACTTTGTCTCTACTTATCTCGCTAAGGAAATTCAAATGAAGCCCTTTTCCCGATAATAAAACAAAGAGCTGGGTAAATGTCAAATCGTAGCCATCATGTAGTTAGCTGTACAGTTTGAGGATAGGTCGGGTATACTTAAGTGGCTTACATGGCGTCAAAATAAAATCAGAGCGCTTAGAATCACTGAAAACAACTGCAATTCGTCTTTTCTATTGACTGACTTAAAAACTGTTCACAAGGAGTAACTGAAAATGCCCCACAAGATGAGCACAAACTTTCTCTACAGGAAAGGCAGCTGTGAGCAGGACGTGTCCATGAGCCCAGATGTGAACACGTCCAGCGCCCACACCACGTCTATGAAGTCGGGACCGCGTCGGCGCGACGTGGTAGGGACCCGAGCGAGTGGTCACGAAAGGGGGCCCCCGCGGACGCGACCCCCGGAGGGCCGGGGCCCCACCAGGCTACGGCGCGCACCCGCGCGCGCGCACACACACTCGCAGAAACGCGCTCTCCGGGCTGGGAAGGGTGTCGGGAGGACCGCTGGCCTCCCCGCGCGCCGTACTCCAAGGAACCGGCCAGGCAAGGGCTCCAGCCGGAACGCGGCGAGGGGCCCGGGGCAGTCGAGCTACCTGAGGGGCGGTTGAGTCCGAGCCCATCTCCACCAGGCCGCGGGTCCGAGGGGACCCCGGATCCGCCCACACCTCCTGGGCCCCTCCTAAGGTCCCCTCCCAACTTCGGGGTGTCTGTACTGAAGGTAAAGGGGGCTGGTCCAGCAGTACCGAGTCGTAGTCCCAAGCATACCCGCTAATCCCACCAGGACCGCGGACGCGCGAGGAGGAAGACACGTACCGCTCGGGCCGCAGCAGGTTCTCTCCGGGCTGGCCCCTCCACGGGGGCTCCCGTCCCGCCCCACGCCGGTGGCTACGACAGGACGCGTTCTCCAGCTGTAGCCGGGTGAGGCGCCAGGTAGCTCCGAGCGTAGCAGGACCCACTTTTACTCTTCCGGGCAACGGCCAACAGTTGTGACCGGGCCTCCTGTGAGGTGGCTCCCAGCGACCGCAGCGGAGCCACTGTCCGAAGCCTACAGTTGAGGTTTGAAAACTGCAGTCGCGTTGCGGGGCAGTGCTGTATGCTAGATCCCACCCCCCTGGATCAGGACTGCCAATCCGAGCGCGCGTGGAGGGGCGGGGCTGTCACGTGACAGGTGGGGCTGGGGGGCCGGCCGGCGGCGCGTGCTACGGGGCGGGGCGTGGTCAACAGCGGTGGGAGGGTGTGGCCCGCACCCGGCAGGCCAGAGGCTGGGCGGAGCTGCGGAGCAGGTGGGGCGTTGGGGTAAATTCGACTACGGAGGGGTGAGGCGCACGCTGCTGGGACCAATCGGGAGACTGTAATTAACTGAGTGTACCGCTCCCCGCCTTTGGAATGGTCAATCCGGAGGTGTGAATATCTGCAGGCTAGGGAGAGGGAAGAAGCAAAGTAAAGTTAGTCCCAGCTGCTTCCCACTCATCCCCAAACTTCTGTGCCTGCTAAAGACCTGTTTTCTGGCTCTTCCGGGTCATCTTTCCTGTGACCTGAACCCGCCCTGCAAGTGGAGAGGCCAGTTTGCTACTAGTTGGCAAGCATCAACATCACCTGGGGCTTTATGGAGCCTGCACCCTCCTCTAAAGTCCACTGCAGCAAATTGAGTCCTTCTGAGGTATGGCTGAAGGCTGTGTAAGGAGAGCTCCGAATAGGATGAATTGCTGATTTTGTGTGTAGGGGGCTAAGGGAAAAAGCGAAACCCCACAGCAAACTACTCAGAATCTGTTTGTTATCCCTTGAAGGGAATGAAAAAGTTGGAAAGTTCTGTGCAAGACACAATTGAGGTTTTGCTTTGTTCTATGTGATCTAGGATTGCTTGCAGAGTATGAGGTCTGACAAGTTTGCGAACTTGTTGCAATGATGTTGCTAACCTTTCTTGATATCAGAGGGATTATTCATTATGAATTTGTACCAACTGGACAGACAGTTAACCAAGTTTACTATTCGGAAGTGCTGAAAAGGCTGCGTGAAAAACTTCAACGACCTAAACTTTTCGCCAACAATTCATGGCTCTTGCATCACGACAATCCACCAGCTCACATGGCACTGTCTGGGAGGGAGTCTTTAGCCAGTAAACAAATAACTGTACTGGAACACCCTCCCTACTCACTTGATCAGGCCCCCATGACTTCTTTTTTTACTCAAAGATAAAGGAAAAGTTGAAAGGAAGACATTTTGATGGCATTCAGGACATCAAGGGTAATATGACAGCTCTGATGGCCATTCCAGAAAAACAGTTCCAAAATTGCTTTGAAGGGTGGACTAGGTGCTGGCATCGGTGCATAGCTTCCCAAAGGGAGTACTTCGAAGGTGTCTGTAGTGATACTCAGCAATGAGGTATGTAGTACTTACATACCTTATGAGTTTGTGAACTTAATTGTTGGACCTCGTATATTTACAATAATTGTAGAAGACTATTGGGAAAATATAGTGGAAAGAGAATCACTCTCGAAAGACTTCCACACCCACTCAATATTTAAAGAGGAAGTTTCCTTGTTCTAGCCCAGTAAGCCAAACAAATTCCCATTAAGCCATCCATTTACTCTTCCATACTGTATTATTACCAAGATAAATACATAAAATGCTACAAAGTCATTCAGTGAAGTCTGCTTGTTCTTAACTGACTCATCCCAGTTTAATGTGTCTATTCCCTAAGCCTTGTCACTTGAAGAATATTGCTTCCATCTATCCAGTTTCTTGTTTCTAGCTATTGGATTGACTAGAGAAGCCTAAAGTTAGGATGAAAACAAAAAACAAACAAAACAAACAGCCACAGTTATTATCTAAGAATCCACAAACCAATGAGATTGTTCCCATCTTTTCCTTTTACAAACCCAGGGGCAGCATCCCAGAGGTCTCAGCATGAGCACTGGAACCAGTAACCTCCAAGGATCATAGGACTGTGTTATAGTGATGATTTTTGTTTTGTGTGTGGTTTAACTCTGGACCTCCTCCATTCCAACATTTGATCAATTGCTAGCTCTTAGTAATCTCCTCAAATTATCCTTCTTTTCTGTCACTTACCTAATCCTACATCACTTCACACCCAGATGCAGGCCTTCCTCTCCTCCACCACTTTAAACCAACCCTCCTTGTGGTTATAAGCCGTCTGCTCCAACCAATCAGCCTCCCATGGGTCTTTTCATGTCTTGCCTTTGCCTTGGCTCCAGCTTTTTACCACCTTCCTCATTGGCACCTATTCATCAATTTCCAACTTTAAGAAGGTTCCCCTCTCCAGATATCAGAAATCTTTGCTGTTTTCCGCGTTCTGCTCCCATCCTGATCACCTCTTTGCTGTGTTCTTAGATGCAGGGCTTATTCTTATTCTGTGTGTTTCTCTTATGCCCCCGAATAGATTGGTAACCCTTGTGCCTGATGTCAGATTTGCCAGCTAAGATTTAGCACCCTATCCCAATGACACTCAACTACACTTGCTTGGTCTCAGGCACTGTGGTCGAAGTAACAAGCAAGTCCTGGTAGCAAGGAGCAGACTATGACATCTGTGGCCTTTCAGTAAAGTTCAGGACTCAACATGTCCCTCCATCCTACCTCATTTACCTAAAACCATTCATAACCATGTGAAAGGTACATGTTCATGCTTTCATTCCCTTGAGCAGGAAATTCCCATGTGACCTACTGGTCATTCTGTGGTTATTGCCTCTTCCAACACAGTTCATTAAGTTGATCTTTGAATGCCACATACTGACCAGGGATTGTGGTGGTTATGAGCTGAATGTGTCCCCAACAAATTGATGTATTGAAGTCCTAACGCCCAGTACTTCAGAACGTGACTGTATTTGGAGATAGGGCCTTCAAAGAGGTAATTAAGGTTAAATGAGATTATATCGGTGGGCCCTTATCCAAAATGAAGAAATTATAACATAGACAACACTGACTGAGGGACAACCATGTGAAGACACAGTGAGAAGGCAGTCATTGGCAGGCCAAGGAGAGAAAACTCAGAGGAAACTAAACCTGCTGACAACTTGCTCTTGGACTTGTAGCCTCCAGAACTGTGAGAAAATACATTTCTTTTGTTAAAGCCTTCCAGTCTGTGGTATTTGTTAGGGGAGTCCTAGCAAACTAATGCAGTGGTCCTCTCTGATCACTCCAAGTGAATCACCGTATGTGACCAGGGATGGTGGTCCTTTCTGATTATGTCACAATACTCACCACATTCCTTCCAGGGAAAGTGACCCTCCACAGTCACAGCAGGTCAGTCATCACATACTGACCACATGCTGACCAGGGGAGGTTGATCCTTCCTGGTGGTACATTTACTCCCTAAAGATGCAGAGAAGGCGGGTGGGATTTTATATAGAGAAGAAGGCCCCAAATTCAAAACTCCTGCCATTGACACATGATCCTTTTGAAGAAAGCCTTACCGTTATCTTTGTGTCAAGATCCTACAGTTCAATCTATGTGGAAAGTGCAAAAGAAACACTACTACCTGTCTCTAACTTAAACCAGAAATTTGTGGCCAGACTTACGGCAGCCAGACAAAAGAGGGGTCACAGCTTCAGAAGGGGTTTGGCTCAAACCTCCACCCAACAGGGTACTCATGTTGAATAGAGACAGGCTAGTCCAAATAGATCCCCTCTCTGGAGGTAGGAATGCTGGATGTACGCAGTTGGATAAGTCACAGTGCATTTGTCCACAATGCCTGTAGCACACTCCAATTTGGGAAGCACAGGGACCACAGAGGTTCGAGGAGACCTCTCATCCCCTGGCTCTCTTACACAAATGCTTTTAGCAAGGTAATTGGAGTAAGTCCTTCCTGATGAGAGTAATGACTCAGACTGGTATAGAAGGACTGTTGTCCTCCTCAAAGGGTGAAACAATTCTTTTCTCCAAAGCACCCATGATTGACAGGTTCTAGACTGCCAATCAAACCACCCACCACAGTTTATAGAGTATAAGCTTCCAAAATCATCTAAAAGAAATGTCATGCAAGCCACATGTGCCATTTTAAATGTTCTAGTACACAGTCACATTTAAGAAGTAAATACAGGTTACATTAATTTTAATATGTTTATTTAGCCCAATGTATCCAAAATATTGACATTTCAGTATGGAATCAATAAGAAAATTATCAATGTGAGATCGTTTACAGTCTTTTTTCATATTGTCTGAAATATGGTGTATTTTACATTTACAACACATCCCAGTTAGGATGCTAATTTTTGTCGAAAACACTTGATCTGTATTTAGATTGCATAAAATTTACCATGGGGGTGGGGGGGGGGAAGATTCATATCCCTACATTGTTTCACACATAAAAAAGTTTTCAATAACTGAATACAGTATCAGTTTCTTAATTTAAACTAATTAAGATAAAGTTATGTAGCACATTTCAAGTATTCCATAGCCACATGTGGTTGGTGGCTACTGTTTTGGACAGCACAGGTCCAGAGAGCTAGAAACGTGCCTTCTAACTGCTTCTGAACCTCAAAACTGTTTGATGTAGTAATAGACATTCTACATACTAGACATAGTAGTAAGTTCTCAATAGATCATAGCATCAGAACAGTTTGGGACTTCAAAAATCCTTAAGGGTCAGTAGCCCAACTCCCTTGTTTTAGAAAGGAGAAAATCTAAATAGAATGAGGGAAGTTGCGGGACTTGCAAAAGATCACACAACTAAACCAGTTGGTGCATACCTGAACAAGAATTTAGGTCTCCTGACTCTTAATCCTAAGGAAATTCCACCTCATTATGTCAGACATACTTCAGGCCAAAAAATAATTGTCTTTGTTTATTTGAACAATTACTTGAATAATATGGGCAAAGAAAAATATACTTATATCCTAGTTGTATTTGCATATCCTGATAAAGATAGCATGTCCTAGAATATTTAAGGCCTCCTTCCACCATGGTTTGGGGTCTAAGGTGATTTAATCTGTCAAGGGCTCTTACCTTGGCCCATCACCGCTTCCTCTCCTTGGAGCCACCTCACTGCACATCCATCCCACCCAACCCCAGAGCATCCGGCCACATTGTTCTGCCTGCAGCTGTTCTCACTCAGCTGTCTACATAATT